CATCACCATCATCATCACCATGACATCCTCACCATGACAATCATCACCATCATCACCATCACCACCATCATCACCACCATCATCACCATCACCATCATCACCATCATCATCACCATCAACACCATCATCACTATCATCACCACCATCACCACCATCACCACCATCACCACAATCATCACCATCATCACCACCATCATCATCACCATCACCACCATCATCTCCATCACCATCATCACCACCATCATCACCATCACCACCATCATCACCATCATCACCATCATCACCACCATCATCGTCACCATCACCATCACCACCATCATCACCATCATCACCATACCACCACCACAGCATCACCTAGGCTCCCATGGGCACACTGGCCATCACACCGAACGGTCATGACCCATTCTCACCTTGATCCCCACCCAGCCAGGTGAGCTCAGGGATGAGGCCTGATCACTCTGTGTCCCCAACAGACAATAAGGACTCGATGTGTACTTGTGATTTAAGCACTGCCCCAATTCAGCCCCACTTCCCTCCACACACTCAGCCTCAACTCCTTCCACCCCCCAGACGGCCCAATTTTCACCGGGGTCAGGCCACGCTGTGCACTCACCACGGGGAGCCGTAGATCCGGAAGCCCCGCACGGTGACCTCCGAGTCCTGCAGGTAGATGCAGTTGGTCAGCAGCGACTGCACGTTCTCATAGTTCTCCGGCTTCAACTTCGACACAGACGGGAAGTAGTAAAAGTCCTGCTTGATGAGGTCGGCCATGAACTCCTGGTCGAAGGTCAGCTCGTGGTTGCCAGCGATCACGATCTTGTACTCATAGGGCAGGCTGCCTGCAGGGCAGACACAGGCAGACACACACCGCTGCTGGCCTGCCCAGACATATTTTGTTTGGGAAAACTTTTTAGTTTTTTTTAAATTTGAATTTGTTGCCAGGATTTAAAAAGTCAAGAGATTCCCAATAAAATGTCATTCTTTCTGTTTTCTAAAAATCAATCAGCGTTAAAATCTGATGATCCAGGCCCAGTCCCATGCTGAGTATCTGTCTCCCTCAGACAGGAGGCAGGCATCTGTTTGCCCCAGTCCCCAACCATCCCTAGTACTCACCCAGCTCACTCCACTCATTTTAAGGTATTGCCCTGCAGGGACTGCAGTCCCTGGAGACATGAGAGGAACAGACCTTGCCGCTGCCCCTTGGGGCTTCCAAGCAGGTGGGGGAGATCAGCTCCCTAAGCCCCTTCTGCCTCCCACCTCACCCATCCCACTGGGCCTGGCCCAGTCCAAGGATGCTGAGGAGTCTGCTTGTTCACCAAGCAGGACAGCTCAGGCAGCCTGGGAGTAGATGCATTTGCTTCACCCATCTTCATCCCTAGCAGGTCCCAGCAGGTTGGACAAATGAGGCCCCTGACAGCACCCTAGAATGACATGGTGCAGAGGACCCATCCATGGTGATGCTCAGACTGCCAATGGGAAGAGGAGACCTGCCTGGGCCTGAGCAGCTGGGGAAAGGTCCCAGAGGAGAGAGAGAAAGGACTGCCATTTCCCGAACCCCACTGTCAGGCCGGCCACCCTGGGGGGAAGGCTGGGCCCTCCAGTCCCCACAGAATCCCGAGACCAGCTCTGTTATCTCCGCCTATAGCTGGGGAAATAGCCCTGTGACCAGGAACCTACCCCATTCCCGTGGCAGTTAAGCAGCGAAGCAATGCTGGACATCAGTACAGCTGACCCCACACATGTGGACAGCGGTTCAGATTCCAAGGCCACCAGAGCAGAGCTGGGTGGGGCCCCTCACAGAGCTCCTCACCGACCACCCCCAGGCTCTGATTCTCTGTTTCTACTTCACAGCGCCCATCCATCCCACTCCCAGCACCGCCCGGGCTGGGGGAGCCGGAGCTGCACTAATGTATCTATGTCACGTCTCGGACTGGGGGCGTTACTTAAGCAAATTAGCAAATTACTCCAACTGTACAGTTTCCTGTATTTCCCCAGTAATCGTCTCCCGGGGATTGGGGAGTGAGCAGGGAGCTATCAGCTGTCCCCTGTTCCTCCCACCTATGCAGAGGAGGGTAACTGAGGTTCTTCCCTCCCAGGG